GTACCCTACTTTTTTGGAAACCCCCACATGAGGTTCCCTGAAGCCGACGGCCTCTACCCAGCTTGAAAAGGCTTGTAAGGCAGGGGCCTTCTGGAGGGAGTCTCTGAGTTATGGGAAGCTGGGAAGCCCTACTGGTTACTGTAAGGGCAGTTGAGGGATCCCTGTGCAACCTCTGTAGAGTTGCGCTTTCCTCCTCTGTGCCTTCCTTGAGCACTGCAAATCGAATTGACATTGAAGCCCGACACCCAACTGCAGTACGTATTTGCGGTGTATTACAGCAAGTTCTAGTATATGATAGCCTTTTACGGCCTTTTCTAGCATGTACAAGCTACCCAAATCCTAGCTGTCAGACACAATTGGCTCAACATAGAGGCCATGCGGAGAAGGACAGGTTTGCAGCTGTAGCCCGAACCCTCAACATTAAACAACCTGGATAGCCAGACATGCAATCATCAGACATCATCATACCCTAGGTTAAAGCAACGATTACCATGACCTGCTCTGAGGTTTGCAAAGTATGAGCAGATGCCCCGGAATCGAACTCAGAGGGCAGTAGGAGTAGGATTCTTAGCACATAGTACCNNCCCCCCCCCCCCCCCCCGCCCACCAAGAGGAGGAACCCTAAACCCCTAAACCCCTTAACCCTAAAAAACAAAAAAAAGCTGTTGCCGGTTTCGGGGGAGCCCTTAGCGCCCTCCCGCCAGCAGCTCGGGCTCCCGGCCGACTGTTGGAGGATGGCATCGACCACCTCCTCCTCCATGCGCTTCCTTTCGGACCTTTTCTTCTTTAGGGTTTTTTAGGGTTTGGGGTTTTTTTCCGGGTCTTGAGCATCTGTTTCCTAATCGTGGTGGTAAAGTATTTATTGCTGCTGTTGGTTGAGCTAGTTTTCGCTATGTTAGAATTTAGGGTTCGGGGTTCCGGGAGGCAGAAGGTTTTGCGCTGAGGGGCAAAGGTCTGGTGCTTGGGGTGTATGTCTTGGCAATTCAGTTAAGGGTAAAGCTAGACACTCCCAAGCCCCACAGTGTCGAGCCTGGAGCTTAGGCTTAACCTTGAGTCGTCGAACCCTCTATCTTGCGCCTGAGTCCCAAACATGGTTTCTAAGAGGGCTTCTTGCAGTTCAGCTTAGGCCGTGGCTTTTCCCACTCGGCACGGGAATCTTGAAGTGCCAAATCCTGCCAAGGAGGTCTCGGGGAAAATGCCTAGGCCCTAGGCTTCAGAGTGTTCGGGAATAGGGTGCTGGTAAATACCTGGTTTTTGCGTTTTGAAGCAACAGGTGGTGTTGATCCGGCGTCGTCGTCTTCTTCGTGGTCGAGATCGTCGAACTGCTGATGGAGCTGCTGCAGGCTTCAGGGTTTAGGGTTTTTGGGTGGTGTTAGGGGCCCAAAAGGGTCTAATGGGTTTAGGGTTTCGGGGTTGGGGGAGGTTCTGGTTCTGGACTCTGGTTTCTGGTGGTCAGAGTGGTAGTAGCGGAGTAGTGCACGCTTTGGACTCTCGGCTGGTCTTGGGAGGCTCAAAGGGGCTCTGTGGGATAGCTCTGCAGATCTTACAGAGCCAAGTGCGCTTTCAAATCTGTTTTTTGGCATCTTCACAGTAGGCGATGAGGCACCTGCTGTAGATTGAAACCTGAGCTGATAAACTGACGAGAGCTCTGGACATTCAGAGCCCAGTATCTCTGTTTAGTGGCTTAGTAGTCCTGTGCAAGCACTCGCAGCTAGTTGCCAGCGTTACTGGGGCCATGGGATGCTAGTGGCTCGTGTGCTCAAACATCTGCTATGCAAGAACAGCGTAGAGAGCCTGCACAGCAAACTCTGAAACCCGCGTTCCTAAACTCTAATTGAACCTGAAAGGCACAGCATGTGTTTGTGTCTGTGCTTGTGTGAAAAGTAAGTTGCCCCCCCTTTCAAAGAAACACATACCTCCTTGAAGGATATCTCATATCATCCGGAAGTCATAACGAGGAACCAGTAATTCTTGACATTGTCACGACTCTGATCTGGGTTCCGGGCCATCTCAGCATCCGACTTATGCTCAAACTCCAGGCGGCTTAGACGAATCGACTCGTCCACCACCTGCGCAAAGGATGGTCGCCGGTCTTTAGCACAGGGGTCTTCGAAGGTCTGAAGTAAAGCATGGCATGGTAAGTATGAATTACAGAGGGAATAGAAGGACACTTATTACGAATTCTTGGGACGCCGGTCTGCTTCCGGCTCTATTGAGCTGAGGATAGGTTCCATGGCCACTTCGGTGCGTGGCTAAAATTGGCACCAGAGGGAGGTCCTGACCGTGGCTGGGAGTTCGCTTTTTCCATAGGAAACCCTGCAACTTTACCGTCGGGCCTAGGTCTTGCGATTCGGGCTTCAGGTTTGGGAGGTGGGTCTTAGGACGTCGCTAGTTCTGGCCCTCTACAAATTTCGTGTACCAACTCTGTGACGAGTCTGGCGTTTTTGAGAAACGCAAGTCCGAAAGAATCCCCAGAATGAACCCTGAAATACCTCTGAACTGTGCGTTTTCGGGCTTCAGGTTCAGGGTGTCGTCCCGTCGCCCAGAATTATCGCTAAGGCCCGGCCACTGCTTTGAGACCTCTCCCGTATTCTACACCAACCATGGTCTTTCTGACTCCTGAAACTCTACAACCCAAAATCTGGCAATTCCAGATAATCGCCGAAAGCCAATAACCCCGAGCAGTACCTCTAAACGGCCCAGTTTGGCTCTGGGAATGAGTGTGGGGTGCAGCGTTCAGGGTTTTACGCTGTGCGACTTGCGGGCATATCGTAACCCATGAGTTTCCTTGTTACTGACAGGTTTACTCATCGAACTTGATTAATCATCGTGGGGTGTCAACCCTTCATGGAGCGGTTGGTGCCGAAGTCGAGCGTAGCCTGAAGTTGTGAGAAATTCTTTGCCCTGGTGGGGCTGCAATGCCAAGGTGGGCTGGGCGAAGGATGGGAACAACTGTGATTCCGCAGCTCCCCGAAATTTGGAGTGCCGCTTCATCTTCAAATAGGTCAGACTGTGCAACCCCCGTACAAGAAGAACAGTTTCCTCTACCCAAACCTTACATCCTGTGGTCGAAATCCAAACCGAACCGCAAGCTGCACATCGGACTGCAAATAACGAGCTAAACCCTGACATCCGCAGTCGTCGCTTCCATACGATCCATGTGCTCCTTAAGGAAAGCCTGGCCTGGTTGCAATGGTTCCAAACCGTTGATCGCCCATGGGCGCCCACACGTGTGCGCTCTTGTCTGTTTCCTTCATGCCCTCGCGAGCAATTGTTCCAAGCCATAGCCAGCGAAACCGCCCAGGCGTTTGAAAATTTTAAAACAGGTGATGCGATCCGACGAATGCAGACAGCAAGCCGGTCAATAGGAGCCAGAAAGCTGCAGGTGCCGCTTGCTCAAATACTGTGACATGCACAGTGATGACCTGGGGCAGAACATCAAATAAAGAGAGAATGAAGGAGAGGCTTGTGCCAAATGTCCAGAAGAGAAGCGTTGGTTTCCAGCCAAACTGGAGAAGCAGAGACAGAAACTTCCATTTGCCAGGCGTGTGCCATGCGTGCGAGATAAACACATCCAGCTTCGCAACAGGCTCAGACTGACCGTACAGCTGCGCCCGTTGGCTCAAGTTCAGATCAGCGGGCCTGCGACGCCAAAGTCGACCAAAACTGTGCAACGTCTTTTGCAAGGAAATGCCTCGCAACAGCTCCGCACCGACATTTGTCTTGGTGAGGTCGAGTATCTCGTTGCTGTCGGAGGAGGTTGACATGAAGCCGAATACTTCAGAGCTTGGGCTGGTCATACCAGCCATTCCCTCTTCGCAGATGACCTTTGTGGGGTGCTTCACACACTATTGCTGAGTTAGTGGCTACTTGGAACTTGGATGAAGGAAGAGCAAATTTCTTTCGACAAGAAACATTTTCCAAAGGCGCAGGAGGACGAGTTGGTTGGCATGCTTCCACCTGTTCAACTTCCGTCTGCTCGCTCTTTGAGCAGCAATTCTCGGTCGATGCCCAGGCTTGGCCCATGGATTTAATCCAACCCAGCCATGTCCTTGAAGAATCGTTTCAAATTTTCAATACACTCTCTTTGAGCCCACGGCGGCGGACAGCAGGAACTGATGGTGGCAAGAAGTCGCCGACTGTGCGGCAAAGCCTTTCACAAGTCACACGCAGCTCTGGAAGTGTCTCCAAACTAAAAGCCGGAAAGTTGGAACATCATTATCCAAAATTAGACCCAAGTAAAGGCAGATTACAGCAAACCCAATCCATGTTCCCACTTTTTTGCTTTCACCTTAACCTGGGAAGAACCGGATAACTGGGTCCGTGGAAGATTCTTGAACGAAATGCTCTGGCAGGCCCCACAGTCGAGAGTTCGGTTCATATGGATGCTTGGCCGCGGCACCCTAATTCTTAAACCCCTAAACCCTAAACCCTAAGAACCTTAAACCATAAACTCGGAACCCTTAACATCACGCCTGGAGGCTCTTGAAGCCGAGCTTTAAAAAAACAAAGCTAAAAAGAAGGACGGCTTAGGTTCAGGGCTTAGGTTTAGGGGGTCTGAGCTGGAGACTCCACAAGCCGAAACGATACATCCAGCACCCTAAACTCGAAACCGAATTTAGGGTTCCTCTAAGGGTTTAGGGTGTAGGGGAAACCCCAAAACCCCAAAACCTGCATGTCGGACAACCTGACCTCGAAACCCCGAACCCCGAAACTCGAAATCCTCACGCCAAATTGCGAACCCTACGCTCAAAACCCAAAACCCTATACCCTCAACCCAAACCCTCAGGCTCCAGGTAAACCTAACAGTATAGACTTTGGCTTTAAAGTCGTCCCTACATACTTTTGGGAGCAAAAACCATAAACTGTTCCCTGAGTACATAGACCCTTAGGGTAAACCCTAAACCCTAAACCCCTATATAAACCCCTAAACCCCAAACCGTCACAGTGCTTGAAGCCCCTTGATTCCTCAGCAACCCAGGATCTCATAACCCCAAACCGTAAAAGCCCTAAACCCCAAACCGTCAGGGCCTCCTGCTCTGTGAGCTTCGCATCGGCCTCGTGGACGCCTTCACGACGGTATCCGGCCTTTTGGCTGCTACGTGGGCTCCAGCTTTCGGGCTGTTTCAGGGTTGAGCCGAGGGTTGATGGCTTTAGGGGTTTAGGGCTTATAGGGGGTAGGATTGAGGGTATAGGCATAGGGCTTAGGATTTGGGCAGATGGGTTCCACTTATCGGGGTGCTTTAGAGCATAAGTCCACATTTCGAGCCGTCCTTCTGGCCCCAATACAAACCGAAATGCAAACGGCTGCATTGAATACACACCGAAATACTCACGGGTATTCTAAATTGAAAGCTGTGCACAGCTAAGCTCAAGTCTTCGATGCTTGTTCGGGTCCGGCACGGTGTTAACGACTAGGACTAGGCCCCGAGGAGGAGGAGGAGGAGGAGGAGTGGGATCACGACCACGACGATCGACTGCCACGACGACGACTCCCAGTGCTACTACTACTCCTACCACGATGACAATAATAATATGTAATACTGTTAACAATAATGATGACGGACAATAGTAGGAATAAGCACAATGCAATGCCGCTACGCTACTACGACTTGCCTTCATCGCTGCTATCATTCTTGACAACCTCAGTGCTGTCGCAATCCCACCTCATGTCTCCTCCGGGATCTGCAGATCGCAGCATCCTCACCCACATGCAGACACAAGCTACAGAATTCCATCCCAGTATAGTTTTGCGTTTAAGGTTGAGGGTTCAGGGTTTCAGGTTTGGGTCATCGGTCTTGAGAAAACAACTGCTGCGGCTGCTGCTGTTGCTGCTTTTCAGAACAGGCTTGGTTGTGGCTGTAAGACTCCACATGTGCCCACTGACACACTTCCAAACAACGAAGCAAATCCTAAACCCTAAACCTTCGCCAGGCCCAATGAGTTTCGCAAAGTTGGACTGACACGAGAGGTTGCAGGTACTCATCTGGTCCAAATAGCTATGCGACCAGCCACACCAACGCTTACCAAGCCCTTATGAATCCCCTATTATCATCGCCCATAGAGGCACTTCTGAACAAGATAAGGTGTTAGTATAAAAGCTTCGAAAGCACGACGACTTCGGCAAGCCCGAAGTCATAATCCGAAACTTACTCTGTGTGCTCCTCCATCTCCCCCGGCCGCAGCTGTTGGGCAATGGGGCAAAGGCCACCTTTGAAAGTCTGCGGTTTAGGGCTTAGGAACCGGCTGAGGGGTTTAGCGTTTAGGGTCCAAGGCTATCGGCGACTCTCGACTGTCGGTTTAAAGTTTAGAGCAGATGTACAAGGTTCTTCATGTAATGTTGATGATCACTTGTTGTGGTTGTTAAAGATGTTACTCGTGGTCGCGGCTGGCTGCCACTAGGGCTACGTTTAATATAGTTGTTGGTTTCTTTGTATACCGGTCCTACTGTCACCATCACCGTAAGTTAAACCTGAACGAAACCCTGCAAGCCCTATCCAACCCCAGCAACTCCCCAACCCCAACCCCCCTCTCATCGCCGATGCAGCCCGGGAAACTTCGGGGAGCCAGGGAGTTGTAGTGCGCATGGCCCTCGTACAGCAGCCTTCAAGAGCTGGAGGGGCAAAAAGCTTCGGGTTGCTTGGGGAGGGGAGGGGGTGGTAGTTTCGAGACGACGGCATGTCGTAGAGCAAGCAGACTTATCAAATCCTGGAAGCGATTGCGCGATTATTTTGATTAGCACAACCCGAATCCTAAACCCTGAAGGCCCTGCACATCCCTCAACCCCAAACCCCAGATGTTCCTCTTGCAATGCGTACGACTCGCGTCAACATCGGATGTGAAAACAAACATCATCTGAATTCGATACATGAAGATCGGAGGCTGGGGGGTTCATCTTTGGAGCGATTGAAAGGGTTTCTAGCGTCTAGTGTTTTGGGTTGAGGGCTGAAGGTTAAGGGCCGACAGGGTTTAAGGCAAGTTTAGGGTTTTGAAGCACGGGGGTGCAAGTTGCGTCAGAACAAACGGAAGCCAGGCCGGAATAGAGCGCGTCTGCACAAAGACAAGCCCAAACACAATACAAACACGATGACAATAGAGATCAATGGCCAGATTCTTGTAGCCAGCAAGACTATGAGCCCTCACAGAAATCGCTATGCCAGGCACCCAGTCCAGACGCCCAGTTGTTCAGAAACTTGGAGCCGTGGAATCAGCCGTCCGCAGGAAATGGTCTT